GCAGATCACAAGATTCATGGAGTTCTTGATGCAGGTTTATTCTTTATATTATTAAGCTGACAAAAGGGGTTCTGTAAATAAGTTCAAAGTTCAATCATGTATCAATCCCAAGAAGTGCTTCTCAAACCAGTCAGCAACTTAGGTGGCAATTGTTGCTGTGTTTTAGTGTACAACAAATATTGAGTCACAGTAAAATACTGTCCTGGCTACCGGTAATTTTTTTTTTCCCAACAGAATTTGATACTGAAAAATTGTGCGATTTCATTCAGGAAAATATTAATTATTAAGAAACTTTGGCCTAGACCATAGTTGAACACTCACCAAGAGTGGTGGTCCAATGTAACTTTTGTGTTGTCAACCACAAGATGAAATCAGAACGTGTTTTGGGGTAACAACCATCAGTGATTGGAATTATTATGCCTACCTGTTCTGTTACTATCAATGGTATCCCTAGAATCTTTGAAGCTTGTACCTGGGAAATAAACAGACACATGTACATGGTCACCTTCTGATAAATCAGGTTTCTGGTCATTAATGGTTTGTGTTTGGTTCATATGTTAATTTTGATTCCAAAATAGCGCATATCAATTTGCTGCAGGTTCATTGTAGTTTTGCTATAGGCAGGCATGGCAGTGTTCGAGTAAGCAGCTGCAAATGTAGATAACATTTGCTCTGACAATGTCATGGATCTGATTTAAATTCCATGGCACTGATTTGACAGGATGGTTGTCACTGCAGCACTGACCAGCGCTGTGGTATTGTGCTTGGGGGTTGGGGATGGCGGCTCGTTTTTTTAACAAAGGTGTAAACAAATTTATTTATTTCTATTGCCCTATCAAATTGTTATTATATGCCCCTCTTAAAAATATTTAAAAAATAGTATTGATTTATTTGGATTTTCACAGCTCTCAAGTGACTGTGTACAGCCGTGACCACGCCCCTTCCCTCTCCGTGAACTGGCCGATCCACCATAACGACGCAACTTACCACTCTCTGTGAGACTGTTAGAATATCGTTAAAATATTTGATGTGAGGGCGAAACTTTTCTTGCATATCACACAAGAAAATAGCGGTGTTTTCGATGGACAGGTTTCCTAGAACTGTGTGGGCTGCCATTTTGGAACTGCAAAGGCTTGTGGGTCGTCATCAATCCAGACAAACAGATTAAAAGTTGCTTTCATATACTCCTTTTGAAACAAATATTTGACAAAAGATCGTTATTTAACAATATTTTGAAAAAAAAATCCCACCACTTTAATTGAATTCTAATAAAACTTTCCTTGTTTATCTAAGCTGAAATTTAGTCGACGGTCAAATACGGATCTAACTACAGAGGGCGTGCTACACAGCGTTTTAGTGTTGTGATCCTCTGTTTGATCCATTGTCATTGCAATAATAATAATAATGAATTGATTGCGTCCTTAGAAATAATTTCCATTGGTTGACAGCAATAAAATGTTAGTAATAAAGTACAATACATATAAAACTAAAGTAAAAGTAAAATGTCAGTTATTGTTATTTCTGATTTCCAATATTTTGTATTCACAAACTTGTCTTATTAGTACGTCTTCTCTTGAACTCATAATATATTTAAATATCTGGTCATCACTTTTCAATTCTTCTGGAATATTGATATTATTAAATAGCTTTTGTCTTTCTGTTTCGTACCTAAGACATTCCATGAAGAAATGTTCTTCATTTTCAATTTTGATCTGGGAACATTGCTTACAGATTCTGTCTTCTAAAGGTATTTTGGGTTGGGTATGTCTACCCTTCTCAATTGAAATACTAGTACGCCGTTGTAGGGCCAGTGCGAACACTGGTGTATTTCTAATCTGTGTGAACCAGGTATAAATCACAGCAGCGAATTTCATGTGAACAAACAATATATTTTACACGAGTTCAATATACGTGAGATATATGGGTCTCATATAAATATACAAACTGAGACGTTACCAAGCTTTATTTAGGTATTTTTATGTGATTGGAAGGTATCGAAGGAGTCACCGGCGGTAATTCGTGCACGTCGCGCCAAGGTCAAACCTCATTCTTGTGATTTCCATTAGAAGAGCGCATTGGACACAAATGTAGCACATGCGCAGCGCGACGACCATGGCCCTTTAACTTGACGCGGCGCGACGACTACCGCTAAAACTTTCATTAAAAAAACCTTAATAATATGAGGCCGTTAACAGTGCTATTTTTGTTCTCATCCGCAGTCGTCCTTCAATATAACCTGTTTTTGAGACCTTAATTCATTCTTAATGGTCACGCACAACAAAGTTGTCGTTTTGAACAGAATTGTTTACGACATTCAAATCTACGTCATTTGACGTCACAGAAGCGATAGAGCGTGCGATTATAAGAAAGATGTATTCAAAACTGAATGGAAATGAATAATTTGTACTGCACTTTGTAGATGTATATAAATAAAAATTTTAAAACATTGGCATTTATGTAAACATGTGTGTTACGTTATAAAAATTTTATTTGGTTCAGGCCAGGAAGTTCATGGGGTTTTGCGTTAGTTTCCTATAAAACTAGCACGCTACATAGGCGAGTCAATCATGGCCGATTCCATGATTGTTTGTAGTTTGTTCGCCTATACATCTTACAGAGGACATGGTACATGTCTTTCCTTCGGTACCAAACACGGATTATAATGTCTTCAACATTACCCTTGGCAGTAACAGTTGAAGTAATAGTTTAGAGTTTGAGGGAAAGTATAAGGAATATGGAGGTATGGAAGCCATGGCAGCTTACACACGTCAGTTAAAGCGGAAGGGTCGTCACCTGCGCACGCGCGGGAATTGAGCCCCAAGCGACGATAACAACAAACACTAAAAACGCAAAGGCTCATGAGTAGACACTTGTTTGTAAACAATGACACGCTATAGCCATCTGACGCATGCGCAGGTGACGACTCCCCCGCTTTAATTTCTTCTGAAATTCGTTTTTGTGTGTGTGTGTACAATCGTGTGGTGTGTAGTTTCATGCTGTAATAAAGTGTAGTCCGACCCTTTTCCCGACCTATTCACATCATTGCTTCCGTACAAAGAATTACAGGGAATTTTACAAAGGTTTGTATCAGTGTGTTTTTTTTCTGGGCGGCGTTGACCCCCTTGGTATAGCTTGCATTGCAACTTACTACATGTATTCCCCATGACAGTCTACAATAAATCTGCCACATCTGGCTCATCCATTATAATTGAATGAATTGAGAAAATGGAATGTTATTCAACAGAGTGACAGTAAAGACGCCCTGTTTCTCCAATAAGGTTCATCTTTGAAGTTGAAAGTGGATTCAGTGAGGCATATCGTAAACTCTGATGAAGTACCCATGAATAATAAACAGCAATGTACATCCATTGTTACAGTACTGTTATTTCGTTTTACCATGTCACGGTGTCTCCCGAGTGCATCCTTCACCCAGTGTGGGACTGGGCTCGGAAAGGGAGGTATCAATATCCCAGGGTGATATACGGTGTTGTAATGACATACTAGTATACACCACGCCCAACACCATGTTTACTAAACTAGTCCCAATTTACTGTCCACATGCTCCCCCACGTTGTGTTTTCCCAGCGATTGAATACTAGACCATTCGTGAAAATATTCGGCAAACCAACAACATTTTGCGAAACCTGCTAGTGGAATCATGGCAAGCGGGCTGTTGCCGACTATTGTCGACTTGGGTTTGTATTCTGAGACGTCTGAGGGCGCTATTTACACAAACCTTAGATTTTCATAGGTACGTATATATTCAAAATGTTTTTGTTTTATTTTTTATGGATATAATTATCTCACTATATTTATTATTTTTAATGTATAAGACTTTAGACTTGATTAGTTATAGGAAACTATTTCTGAAACTTTCGCCTAAACAATAATTTATATAATTATCATTACCATTGATTACAATTAATATTTTCTCCGGTACTGTTGTATTGTTTTGCTTTACTCTGATGTAATAAATTTATTCAAAATGGTAATAATGATAACTGTTAGTATTTTATTTGACATTGCATTTCAAGCGCGGTGGTCGTTGCGCTGCGCATGTGCGACATTTTTGTTGATATTGTACTCATTAAACGACAACATTGAGAAAATTGGTTGATTCCATTTGATCTACTGTTATAAGATGAGCGTATGTTTTTATAATACCAGAGTTAATTTGTAGAACGTTGGATGCAGGTTCTCACATTTTATTTTGTTTACTTACAACGAGAGATATTAATGATTAGATTGTTAGTATTAATTATTATAAAATACATGTACATTTGCGACATTTGTGTTGATAAACATTGATTTCCCACAATCCATTGCGCTCTTCTAATGAAAATCACAAGTATGATTTTGACCTGGACGCGACTTGCACTGATTAGCGCCGGTGACTCCTTCGATACCTTCCAATCACCAACAAAAATACCCAATTAAAGCATGGTAACGTCTCAGTTTGTACACGTTGATCTGCGCAACAATCAAAATCGCCATTATTGTTTATATGAGACCCATATATCTCGCGCATGCGTGGCGCGACGACCACTGCTCTTTAATTGCCATACTTGGAAAGAAAAAGATAATATCCTTCACAATGGAGCACATTGCCCAAGTCAGTAAGAAAAAGTTGATATAGTTTCTGGTACATTCTATTAATATTCACACTTACAATGGTATAAATAAAATAAAACGGTATAAACACACACAACCATGGATCATTGAACGAAAATCGTATAGGAAAAATTCAAATTCATGAACACACTACAACGAATCCTACTAAATACGTTATGAAACAGAGAATGCAAGAGACTGCTTATATTTGCTATGGGTGGTGACTATTATGCAAATTATCTGTCTATTATGTATTTGGCTGAATAAATAAAACATAGCTTTAAAAACAATGACACGTGCTTTTGTTTTTAATTAATAAAAATGGATTTTACACCCTATAAAACACATTAAATTCATTTTTCCTACTGAGTGTTTGCTCCTTGTAGTTTAGCATCGAAAAATACAAAAAAAAGTAGAATTTTGGGTTTCAAAGCAAAAAAACGTATAGCGAGCACACCAAGTCTCACGTGTGATCTGACTATCCAGCCTGTAGTAAGGCGCCTCAAGGGTTAAACGAAAGCGCGTCACCCAAAATGCAACTGATACTAACAATGAACTATAGAAATAAGAAGTATTTTTTGACTGATTTTGGCTGTTTGCATTTGTAAACCCTTATATTTTTCATATCTAAAATTACAGTTGGTGGAAATGATTACTGGTCGGGCGGAAAAAGGGTGCCCCGGCCCACCTCTCTGGTAACTAACGTCCAGTCCCTTATTTGTTAAATCTATATAACATCTCCTCTTAAACGTTATGATTTTGAGCCGATAAATAAAATTGGCAAACCCGAATGTATAATACATTCTGGCGAAGACATGATATGTTTTTCGCGTGGACCAAAAATAAACAAAAGGCGATACTGGAGTCGTCGCAAGAGGGTGTGGTAAACGACGATGCCGCAGAAGATATACACCATGATAATATATGTACATCCACCGTCCGCTTGCACGGCTTCATATACCGTTCAGGAATTCCACTCCACGAACTAAGCCAGAACAGTATACGTTGAAAATTCAAGATACTAAATTCAGTGATTTTATGATTTTTTTTTAATTTGAAAATGGCGTAGGTGCAGCGTGATTTAAAGCGCGGTGGTCATGGTCGTCGCGCAGCGCGTGTTCGAATTTCATGTCAATAAACAATGTATTTTACACGCGTTGTATACGTTCCCATATCGACCAGGACACGGCACGACGACTGTCGTCCTTTAACTCCCACCCGACCCACAGACAACGCGTGTAAAATACATTGTTTATTGACATGAAATTCGTAGAAAGTTTTCCCCCAAGTTTTTTTTCTTCAAATTGCCTACACTTGTTCATTAAACGGTAGTCATAACAGACTTCCCTCGAGAAATTTCCCAAAAAATTCAACCCCTCTCTTTACAGAAAATAGAAAAATGATAAAATAAAGTTTCCCTTTACTCAAGATATTGAAAATAAAATCACCCGCCTTAAGAACGCAAAAATGTTCGTTCAGCTCAACTTGAAGAAATTCCTTGTACA